AAGGCTTTACTGGAACTTGCAATGAATTATTTTTTAAATATTATAATCATTTAACGCTTGAGGTTTTTAATGTTCAAAAAATATCGGTACAACAGATGGCAGAAGCTAACCTGCTGTGTAGCAGAAAGTAAAGAGTTGATGCAGAAACGAATATTTGATGCAATTAATTCATTCATGTGAACAAACATTTTTGCTTTGAACTGCTACTGTTACCCTCGTCTATGATTTAAGCGGCAAAATTTCAGGTATAATCTTGCCTCTACCCGATCAAAGAGAACACAAATAAACAAAGCAGTGTGTGATAATATATACGCAAAACCGCTAATTACTATGAGCAAAGAATTCTCATCCCACCTGCTTCGGTTCATTCAAATGTGAACTGAAACTGATTCATAGTTCGTTCCAAACAGATAATACCTTAGTTTCATCGCATTACAACATTTAGCTTAAATGTATGCTAATGCAGGGGCACTGTCTTTTCTACGGCTAAATTTACGCCACACTTAGATGTCAACGGAGATATAGCAGTTGTAACCGTAAATCACAGATGACCAGCCTGAACGGAGCAGCACATCAGCTCCAGTTAATAATAATATAGAAAAATTATTATATTGGATGATAGAAAGGAGCAACTGAATATCCGTTTTACAAATAAAATGGCTAAAAAAGAGTATTTTAATACATACGGCTTCAGAACTCATGCAGAACGATATTTTACTCTTAAGTCAGAAGTTGATTTGCTCATAAAAGTCAAAGAATACCACAAAACATTTTATTGCTGATCACTAGTTAAAAATCTGATCATTGCTAGTGGCAAGATTATACTGAAATGGCCTAGCGTTCACCGTCACCAACTTTGGTGGAAAATTAAACTTATGTATAAATCCGTCATATCTAGTAAATCTATTTCAGTTAACCTAATTTTCAGGAAAACAGTAAACAATTTTTAATTAGTGTTAAACGTCGTGTTTAATATCATAATACTTGTGTGGTGAAAGTTCGCCTGAAGAAAATTGTCTTTAATGATAATATGTTTCACTAGGGTTGCTAAAATCCGGCGCTTCAGCTGCATATCCGGGTCTGCATGCATCGAGATACGGAGCTTCCGAGCCTGCACAAGCGTCCGTGACCAAGATCGCCCTCAGTCCTTGTAGCATAAAGTAATAAACGACAAGGTAATTCGCTGGTTCGTTTTTCGCGTTCATTTGAATAGTGCTGTAATTATGCAGACGTTTGAAGTTTGTTGTCTAGTTGAACTTATTTACTTCAGTCGGAAATCGATTTTCTTTGACATATCTCCCTGCTTCGTGCCTCCTTCCGTTCCTGCTGTGACTTCTAGCGCATTGTCAAATCGCGTCGCATGTGGCGCTAGTCCTACGCTCGTCCATCGATCTCTCAGGTCATCTTCGAGTTGTTTGCTTTGTTCATTCCGATAGATCTGACTTTGTTACCCTTTGCAAAGAATCATCGACGCCGAGGTGTGAAGCCGAATCGGCGCGGCCCGGCAGTTGGCTTCAGCTTCATCGTAGCGGATTGAAATGGTTTTGCATAAACTCGGTAAACTTCATTTGTTTAACATGTAAGCCGCGAAAGAGTAGTTTTTTGTTTTTTTTCTGAAGGTATGCTCCATGTTTGAAGTCGAAAGGGTTGCAAGATTGAAGGTTATTCTTTTTCCGTTATCCATTCAAATAAACAGCCATGTTATTTGCTCTGTGATAATTTTGTCGCTAGTGCGTCGTAAGTTTATGCCGTTTCTCCCCGGGTTACCTGTCTGTGGTTCTGTTCTCTCTCCTGCTTGGGTTGTACATTTATAGAATAGTCAGGCACAGCCAAGGCGATGAGTGTATCGGTGTAGATGTGGAGACGAGAAGGTTGCTGTTTGCAGACGATCTTGTTTTATTGACATCTTCTGAAGCAGATCTACAGTGCTCCCTAGAAAGGTTCGCAGCCGAGTGCGACGTGACCGGTGTGCGTGTGAACGCATCTAAGACGAAAGGCCTAGTGCTTTCTCGTTCTCTTGCCTGTTGCTGTTCAGATTAACGGGTAGACACTGGAGCAGGTGGAGAAGTTCAAGTACCTCGGAGTCATGTTTACTGATGAGGGAAAATTTGAGGAAGAGATCGATTGGTGGATTGGAGCAGCTAGTAACATTCTGCGCGAACTGGCCCGAACCATTATGACTGTAGTAGAGCTGCGTCTGAAGGCTAAGCCCTCTGTATTCAAGTAGATTTTCATCCAGTGATTTCCTACGGTCACTAGTCTTTGACAGTGACTGGAAGACTTTGATCACAGGTACAGGCAGCTGAAATGAGCTTTCTGAGACTAGTCGCTGGCCTCTGATTTGGCCTCGAGTACAGAATAACTAGGGAGTCTCGTTGTACAGCCTCTGCTTCTCAAAATTGAGAATTCACAACTGCAGTGGTCGGTCTGGGCATGTTTTGTAAGTGCTTCCAGAAAGGAAAGCGAAATGGCTGCTACTTGGTATTTGCTCAACCGACTGGCCCCAAACTCCGGGGACGGCTAAGAATAACTTGGAGCAGGTGTATTTAAGAAGTTTGCTCTTGACTCCGGTTGTCTTGTGCCGAAGCTCAGATACTGACATTGGATCGGAAACGTGGTAGGCGCCATATGACGCGTCTTCCTCTATGACCCAAAAGAATACGCAGTGATCGAAAATGATTGACTGACTGACCGTCTGTGGTTTCAAGGTCCTTAGACGATAGTTAGGAAGTTTGACAGGCTTCTTAAGGAGCTAATTCATTACAGTGTCAAACAGACAACACCATAGATAAAAGAACGAGTTTTATCATTCCTTGATGACGGCTACTGTCAGCTGCATCAGTTGCATGAGAAAACTGTTATAAGGCATGTTGAGGATGTGTAACAGCAAGTCACAGTGCTTAAAATATATGCACAGATGGATCTCGAACACTGAAGGATCCCAAGTCCGTATTCCCTTATCCCGTTTTTATCGCACACCATCATAAATCCAGCCAGCAGCAGACCGAAATATCACAATATTCGAAGGCAATAACTTTTGCTTCTACGTAGTTTTTCCATATTTACCTAATGCAGAATTCTTGCTTTAATAATTGATTGATGTTATCGTTTATTTTTCGATCTTTTAT